TTCAATGTGCATTTTCTCCACATAACAAGAAAATCATGTTTTATCAGAACTTCTGGGTGATTTTCTTTCACTGATTCCAACATCATCCGTCTCTAACAGACGTATGTTTCAAAGTGACTCCCGCTGGAACGTCACCTAAAGTTAAACGCTGCGTCATGCTGAGAAATCTGCTGTTTAAACAATAAAAACACTTCAGAGAAAATAAAACAAATAGAAATTAGAAAGTTTTTTTTAGTTTCTACTGTTTCTGTAGGAAAAACCAAAGTTGTTGTGTATTGTGGTCATTATGGAGGAATTCAGCCATTCACTGTAAGCAAAGCTACGTTCACCTTAAATCACAGCCTCATTATGATGATCTATGTTAGAACAGCACAAACAATACTAAAAGAATAAAGAATATAGACTATAACACTGGCAAACACACGTTAGAGACGCCTTTAGAAAAGAACTGAGTATTTTGATATTTTCTTGCATTTTCTAACCTTATCCAGTTCAACTGGAAATAGATCACAGTAGCAGCCAATCAAAATGGTCCTTCCCAGTAAAAAAAAAACAGCCGAATGGCAGCAAAATCCCCTCCAACTTCCTGCCACTGCAGTGACCCCCTCTTTCATATCTTTTCACTCTGACTCCATCCTTTCACAGCATTACAGGGTCTGACCAGCAGATGGCGCTTATCTTTAGATCTTAATGTCCACAAATCATGACAGAAAGAATATTTTAGTACAAAGATTGATGTTTAAAAAGGAATTGTAGGGGACCAGCCAAGGGAGGAGCCAATAGAAACCCTCCAGGAGAGACGGCTTAAAGACGCAGAGTTCTGCTGCAGAACCGCCTTCATCAGAATCCAGTTGGTCAGCAGGAACACTGCTGGTTGTTATGGTGACCAGATGGATCAAAGTCAAACGGATCAGAACCAAACGGATCAGAACCACAGAACCTTCAGGTGAACCAGTGGTACCTACAGGTGTTCTGGAAGGTGTGGACCTGCATGTCGAGCAGAGGAAACGACTGCCTGAAACTGTACGTCACCGACGTCTTCTTCTTCTGGAAGATCTTCGTTACCTGAGGAGGAAGAGGAGGAAGAATCTTATAAATACGATTGATTTTATTATAA